TCGCTGGCGATCATCAAAATTCTATCATTTGATTGGCTGTTGATCACATGATGTGCCTCCGCTTTAGACGACCCCCGCCTATGGGCTATGGCATGCCTAATTTTTTTCCCGTGCCCTAAACCTTACGTTCCTACCTCGATATACCGAAATAACGCGACGTGTTTTATAAAACGTCTTTAAGTTTAAGAATGGATAAACAATGGATATGCATAAAACCGAAATGTAAATGAAATAAACATTCTGATATTTATTGTATTGAAGCGCTTTGGCCTTAATAAGCTATTCCTTTCGTTTTTATATTAATAGCCCAAGAAAATGGCAACAACATAATATCGGTAATTCTTCCTCGCCCACGAACTGGTAACAAATTGTCTTTTCTAGTTATTAAACATTTGCATATATAATAGATAACACTCTTTTTTTTTATAATTAGGGTTACCTGCACGTTACCTTCTTCAAGACGGAAACTTGTATGAAGCATTATATGTAGATTATGAACATCAAAAATCTTGGTTTGTTAAAGACACAATCGAAAAAGGTATTCAAAATTAAAAGAAATAATCTAATAATAATTCCATTATGTTGATAAAATGACTTCTTACCGGAAAAATCAGACGGTAGTTTCGTGTATTTTACTCGATTCGATCCGTTATTTTTGTTAATACCAATACTAGATGATTGTCGAAAAAAGGTAAATTATTTCAAATTAGATTTTTATTCTATATTTTTCTATCTCAATTGATTGCAATTCAATGCTTAGAATTTAGAATTTCAAGGACGATTTCTTCCGTTAGATGATATCCTAGATAATCTTGAATATCCAAGTTTAACGCGGTTATCTTCGATAAGTAGCATCTCATCATATATGGATTGGGTTTGTGACAGCCAAGGTTAGAAGAATTTTAACTTCGGATACATTATATAGCAAATACCCATCTATACATCATTTATTATTATTTTAGAATCACTCGCAAACAAAGTTTATAGATTAAATGATGAAAAAGTAATGAATTGGTTAAAAAAAAAGGTATTAATGATGATAGCTCATTATCTTTGCAAAATTATGTTAATTAAATGTAAATTTTATTATGCTTATTAGGTTACAAACATTTTGTCCAAATTTAATAATGATAAGTATGATAAATATAAGTCTTTTAAAAAAATCGATCAACAATTGGACGATGAAATAGTTGACAAACAGCATCGACATGGTAAGCGTGAAATCTATTTTGGTAAGTCATTTAATACGTATTTACTGAAGAGTAACTAATAAATCTTCAGAGCTTCGATTAAAATACGCACTAGAAATTGTTATGGAATATCTGCCAAATTATTGGGCTGAGCAATTGAAAAAAGAATACGAGTGAGTATGGATTTTTTTGGTCAAATGATAAATATTCAACTTACACACTTTCCTATTTTGAATTAGTTTTGAAGCACTTGGTGCATGGGATAATAATGCTGTCGTATACATGTCGGCAATTTCTACTGATTACCATGTAAAACAACCCGTTGAGAAAGATGTCGTTTCAACTGCCAAGGTGACTATCATAAATTATCCATTTATTACTTTTAGTTGGGTGTATATTAACAAACATCTTTACTCTAAAGAAACGTAAATTAACAGTTGGACAAGCATCCATAGCTAAAGCCAATAAAAAAGGGATGAAGCCACTAACATCTTTCTATACTAAAAGTTCGCAAACAAATAAATAAACTTTAGTGTTACTTTTAGTTTATGCAACTATAATTGTTTCTTATTATAGTTCGAGTTGGTCAAAATTTTTCAAAATCGATTGTATACCAAAAATATGTTATGGTTGTGCTCCGGGATAACATGTGTTAGTTCGGATGATTACTCTGAACTCAAAATAAAGTTTTTAACTATATGGGCTAGGTAATATCTAAACTAGTCTCTACTCTAATTTATATAATTAGCATATCTAAGTAGAAAAAAAATCCTCTCAGGTTAAAAAAAAATTTCTTTTTCGACGTTGGCACTGTAGAAAGGTCAGAAATTCATACCATTGGACTCGAAGCATTGTTTGTTCGGGTTATCACGTTCGAGACATGTAATCTACATGTCTACATTTCATATGTATTCATGTGTTTGTTGTGACTAG